TAGTATAAAAATATAATTTATTTTTTGAATGGTTACCAATATCAAAACAACTTTAAATTTGAATTATACAATTTATATGAATAGAATAAATTCAACCATTCTTTTCATAGAATATAAATTGTATAAAATAATTATATATCATTAATATAAAAACTTATATAAGTTCCACAATATAATTAATTAGATTTTAACTATTTTTTTTATATTTTTTCTTACTTAAACCAAATTATAATATCTTAAAAATTAATTACAAAGGGAGAAATGATTTCTTTACCTAAATTCTAAATATTTTCTTCATATTTAAAATGGTCCCAATAATTCAAAAACTCAAAAAACAAAATTTTGTAAAAAATAAAAATTAATGTACCATATTTAAAATTTTTCAAAAGTTCAGGGGGGCAGCTGCACCCTTTACCACGTTGGCTCCGTTCCCGTCTACCCGATATTATTTTACATAATTTTTATATTTTATTAAATAAGTAGACGTAGAAAATATTATAAATATTAATATAATGAAAATAATTAATTATTAATTAATATGTAAAATTTTATAAAAATATTATATAAAAAAATTTGTTTAATTTATGTTCTTAGAATATGAGTTAAGAAGAGTAATTAATATATCTTTTTATAATTAATTTGTACGAAATGGTAAGTGTTGATTTTGAATTAATCAATTAATCAATTAAAATCATTCACATGTCAATGATGTTAAAATATATGTTAACTTTTATAATTTTTTATGTAAATTAATTTTAAAAAATATATTTATTATATCTTTAACTTGTGTTTTAAAAATATAAACTAAACAAATAAAAAAAAATTCTCTTATACAGTTTCCCAAAAAAGTAGGGAGCCCAATGGTGATGTCGAGAAAGGTTCATAACTCATAAGATCTACGAAAACTCAAACCTAAATAAATGTTAAGATTTTCGACCTGTTGGTAAAGAAAAGGATACATAAATGCAAATGCATAAATAAAGATGGACAAATACATAAACAATGAAGGAGAACTGGAGAACACATCAAATGATCATTAACAGCAGCATAAACCACTTATTTACACAACTTTGACATCCATTGAATCAAATGAACAACAATTATTAAAAATGTTAGAAATTTAACAAAAAAAAGGGTATGGACTCATAAGGGAGATTTTAGGGTGGCTGCCCCTGTTGCATTAGTTCTAGGTTTTTTCTTCTTTGTTTTTTATTATTTTTAAAATATATAAAATATTAATTAAAATGAGTAAAAATATACTATATAAAAAATTAACTAAAACTTTTTAAAAATTTTAAAATAATGTGTTGTAGAAAGCAAATTTTGTAAAGCATTAACAGACGAAGCTTTACAATGATAAATAATGACAACCATTGATACTCTTAGTATACCGTGAAAATTCCGGTATCGATTGATAAATTTATTTTTTAAGATTAAATACTGCTAATTTATATAGTAATTTGGTCCTTTCAAGTACATATTAGGTTCTAATATCTTAGTTTTGTTTCAATTGAGTGCCTATTTCTAAATTAATTCAATTAAATTGAATTATATATAAGTATCTGTGATAAATTTTGCTGTTGATGTTAATTTTTTTTATATCTATTAAATATCATTTCACATATATATTTAATTTTTATAAATATTTTAATTTATTTATAGTGACAAATCTAAAATGTTACCCAATATATTTCATAATACAATATATATCATACTAATACTACAACCAATACCCAAAGCCTTACAATACTGACAGTTGATTGAAACAATATGTATCATATACTAATATTACAACTGATACGCAAAGCCTCACAATATTGACGGTTGAAACTTTTGTGGGAATCTCATATACATCATGATTGTACCACTTTATCCTTTAAATTAAGTTCACTAGTATCTCAATCTATCTGTGTGAAGTCTCTATCATAGATCAATTGAGATATGAAAAAAGGGTTGGGCCGATGAAGGGTTGGACTATAGAGTAAAGGGGCAAATATGGATATAAATTTTGATCATTTTTCTTTTTAAAGACGTGAATTTTTTTTTTTTGTTGCATAATGGGAGACAACTATCCCACATCCCTTATCTCACATCACTCGCATGCCATGCGACTTAAATTTAAGATTTTTTTATTTCCAATGGAAATAGATGACCACTAAACTATTTAAGTCGTTGGCAAGACATGAACTTTTTCAATTTCTAAATTAAGTTTTTAATTTTCAATTTTTATTTTAAATCAAGATTTGAATTTTGCATTTTTTTTTTCTATATTCAGATTTAGTAGATGGTGGTGATGACGTGATTTATGGATGCACTAAATTCTTAAATAGAAAACTCAAAAAAATCTTATCTTCATTTAGAAAAAATCAAAAGGTCATAGCCTTATTTAGAAACAAAAAAAATTTCATACCCTGAAATAAAAGAGTCAGCAAGGTTGATATCCTTATAAGCATCTTCACGGGCACATTCTTCGAATATTTTGCTTTACAATGAAGAACGCGAGGTTGGGCTTCACATTGACCCAATTAGTTGATTTACAAGGCCCGTTGAAGAGCATGGGTTAGAACTTCTGTAGCCCACTTTTGCGTCGGCTTTTATAAAGGAGAAGGCGTGGAGCACGTGAAGCAACCCTGTGACTGTCATATCTTCTCCTCGAGAATCCAAATTGGATACGTTGCTGTCTTATCCGGGTCGGGTATCTGCTGCCCGGTATCGTTGTCTTCCTCGGCGAAAAAACTGAGAAATTCACCGGAAAAATCTTCGCCGAAACAGGTATTTTCCGAATCTCTTGCCGGTTTATCTCATTTTTGAGTTGAAATTTTGGATTTTGTCTGCATGAGATTGGTAGAATTTGATAGATTATGAATATTATTGTTTGCAATTTAGGGTAATTCTTTTGAAATAATGAATTTCGTTTCTATCTGGAAGTAAACAAAAAAATCGTAATGGCTGAAGTCAATCGGCGGAGGATAGGAGGGGATTCGGCAGGATGGGGTTGGGCGGATCTCCCAACTGATCTTATCGGGAAAATCATTGAGAAACTTAGTTGGGTAGACCGAATCCGCCTTCCTGCCGTCTGCAAGAGCTGGACGGCCCTCCGTGGTCTTGCTCTGGATGCCCCAGATCTTCCGTGGATGTTGAAATTCCGAACGGAGGGAACTCTGTTTGAGATGTTCGATCCTTGTGAGAAGAAGAAGTACGTATCTGATAAATGGATTGAGGGGAATGATAAAGGGATTTTCGCTGATGCTACGATTAGGTGTTCGAGACTTGGTTGGTTGCTTTTAAGAAGCAGAACAAGGGATCACAGTGATCCCAGAAGCTATATTGTCTCGACATTCTTGTTCTCTCCCTTTACTGGAGAGGTCATTAAGCTTCCGAAGCTGGAGCAAGATTATTACTTTAACAATGTTGCAACTTTCTCCATGAATTCGACTTCGCCGGAATGTATTGTTTTCATTTTCTGGCGAACATGCTACACTGCTGGTTTCAGCACTTATCGCCTTGGTGATAAGGCGTGGAAGACTTCCAAGCTTGATGACGCTAGATATCAGTCTTATAACCTGTGTCTGATAGATGCAACATATGTGGCTGGATCTTTCTATTGTCTTTTCGCTGATGGGGATGTGGGCGTCCTTGACACTGCACTTCAACAGTGGAACTTGTTGGAACAATGTGGCCGAAAGCTTTCAGATGCCAGTCGCTATCGTCCACCAAAATTCTTGACTTCTGATACTGATCTGAGGCTGTTTAAATATGGTAATCCTTTAGGAGGACATATCTGGAAGTATGATTTCTCAGAGAAGTACTGGTTACATGAACAAAGTTACAGCAACCAGGAGATATTTATCTGTTCTGGGTTAGCTGTTCAAGATGCTGGTGGTGAAGCGAGTGAATTGGTTAATAAACGCTTTGAAGCCTTTGATGGAGAGAGCATCAAGCCTGCTAAAGGGGGAATGTTTGCTGAATTTTATGAGTGGCTACCTAAAGATAACATGTCTGAGGAAGTCCAGAAAATCTGGTTTGATCAACGACTTGTTTGGAGAAAACAAGATCTACTTAAACCTAGTGAAGTTGCATATCCCTTTATATAATCTTCTTTTCTCTCATGCTTAGCTGATCTTTGTATACAATTTTGTTGGTTCTCAGTTTTTAGCTCGTGTTTAGCTTGTAGTTTCTCAGTTTATGGTTTTGTATACAAGTTTGGCCAAGAAAATTAGGGCGTGTTCTCCAAGTGGAGATTGTAAGGGGAGCTGGAAGGAAAGGCAGAGGAGCATTGTGCCATTGTCAGAGAAAAGGCTATAAGGAAATCATTTGCTTCTCCCTTTGTTTGATTCTGAGAAAAATTGTTAAACAGAGTCTGCAACTTTTTCTTATCTTTTTTTTTTTTTAGTGAGGAACAAGGAAACTAGTGTGCAACTTTTTCTGGATGATAGAAGGTGGTTGTGCTGTTCATTTTTTCAATTCAGCTTGGTTTTGTTATAGCTGAAACTTCTTTTTTTAATCAGCAGTTTAATTTCATTAAAGTGAGTACAAGGTGTACTCAATCCTGTTTACATTGTCATAGCTGACATGGTTGTGCATCTCTAATGGTCAGCTTAAAATGCATTTAACTTTATACGATAGGAAATCATGGTTAGAGAGGTTGGATATTCTTCTAATTTGTCAACTTAGGGTAACTAGCGTCTTCTGGATTTGTCAACCATGGATCCTGTTCAAGGATTAACAGATTTTGAATGCAAATGGTAATAATATTAGGTGAGTTGCAATTGCTTGACAATGGGATTTTGTTTAGAAAGGGTTTCAAGCAAAATCGGCTTGTTCTTTGTCTTTGAATCAAAGTCTCATTATATACTTCTTTGCATTTTAAGAAATGGAGATAGAGAAACAAAATCAAACTCTCTTTTATTTCCCTCTTTTTTATTATTATTATTATTATTATTATTATTATTATTATTATCAAATAATAAGAATCAAGAGCTGGCATTCTTAAAAAAATTGACGGTAGATTTCACTCTTAAAAAATTGACTTAATTATTTGTAAGATCTTGCATGTTTAATTTTACGATAGTTGTTATGAACGCACTGAATGAGCAAATTACTTATTAATAATATTGAATTGAAGCAAATTAACACCAAAGAAAAGGTTGATGGGGCTTCGCAAACAGCAAACACTATAAGTGATTACTATTTTACAAGACATCTTCATGATATTCCCATAATTTCCATATCACATGAAAGGACACAATGTTACATTCATGCATTTCACACATTTTCCTTCATTTCCTCCGCACTTTTTCCAGCATCACGTTCCTTATAATATGAAAAGTCAAAGAAACTTTTTCTGTTTTTTTTTTTTTTCAAATCCTTCTTTTTCAATCCCCAACTCCTCATAAATCATACTATCCGATTTTATGATAGTCAAATGTAAAAAATATGTATATATATATATATATATAAAATGAAAACAGAAGTCTTACTATCCAATTTTATGATGTTCAAAAATAAAATATATATATATATATATATATTAAAAAAATGTAAACAACAATCATACTATCAAACTTAACCTATTCCATAAAGAAAAAAAAAAAGAGTAAAATTTGCAACAATGTGCTCTATCAGCAAAGACCTTCAAAAAACTGAGCCACAATGCTATCGGTGTCCTATGACAGCTACAATTTATTATACCTAATGACCAAATTGAATCTTGAGAAAAGTATGCTGTGGAAAGCTGCATCTAGTATTTCAAGTAATTAGTGAAGAATAATTCAATTCATATTGAGAGATTTAATTTTTACGTTTGTAATTTTCTCTAATATCTTAATTAAGTTTAGAATACTATTGAGAGCATACTTGCCTGTCCAAAATTGGCAAAAACCTACTTTTAACTTTTTATCTTATCAAGTTAGAAGATTTTAGTCCATTATCTTATATTATAACATTTTTAGCTTCTCACCTTACTAGATTTGTAGGTTTTAATCCCTCACCTATTAAAATCAAAGAAAATAGCCCTCACTTTATATTGACTGTTAACTTTATTAGTTGAAAATAGGTTTTTGTCAATTAATAATCAACTAATAGTCAGTTAACAGAATTAACGAAATATTATAAAATTAGTTTTATTAACTTTGTTAGCTAAAAAAATGTTTTATTAGTTAACAGTCAACTAACAGTCAACTAATAAAGTTAACAATTAGTTAACAGAACTAACAAAATGTTATAAAATGAAGACTGTTTTTTTTAATTTTAGTAAGTGAGGGACTAAAAGTATTATAATATAATATAAGGGGTTAAAACTTACAAATCTAGTAAGGTGAGGGATTAACAATGTCATAATATAAGGTAAGGGTTAAAAGTGTCATAATATAAAGTGAGAGACTAAAATTTTTAAATTTAATAAGGTGATGAGTTAAAAATAGACTTTTGCCATCCAAAATTATATCATAATTTTTTCGCTTTAAAAATGAACATATACATGATTTCTATGTTTACATTTTGATAAGATATATATGATTCGTAAGATATATACATCACGCTAATAACAAATTTATTTCATCTCCTACCTTTCATACCATTTAGATGACTACATCTATATAATTTTTCTTTTTTCTTTTTTTTTCCAATTTTCGTTTTTATATCTAGGGTAGTATTGTCCCACCATTCCCCACTAAAATGTGCACATAATAAAAAATTCAAGCCAAAATAAACTAATAAATGTTTTTTTTTTTTTTTTAACAATGTAGTGTATCCCAAATTGGTTTATGCACATCAATAAACTATTCTCTCTCCAATCTAATTTGAGGGGCAGACGTCTATGTAACTATTAAGAATTACTCTCTCCATTTCAAAATAATTACTCTTTTTTATTTGATTTTTTCTAAATTATCTGTTTTTTTTTTATTTTTTAAAGTAAATAAATATTTTTTCTTATATTAACCCTATTATTTTTAGTTTATTTTAATTATTTATCATATTACAAATGTCTCACTTTATTTTCCATTTCTTTTTTAAGAACAATATAAATAAACACTTAAATTATTCTTAAATCATTAATTTAGATAAAAATTTCAAAAAACAATAGTAATTTTTTTGGGATAAAGGAGTACATCTTTATTGGTTTTCTCCAATCCTAAGAAATCAAATATTGATTAATAAGGTAAACAGTACTCTCTTCTCTATTAAGCCATAAGCACATTTAACTTATATAGATATTTTACATTAAATTGAAAGGTTAAAGGCAACACCATTAACTTAGTATTCACCAGCAAAACACATATCAATTCCCTATCCTCTAAATTGTGAAACAGCTGGATTGTCAGCAAAGTAGCCCCACCACAATGTGTTTCAATGTGTTTCAAACCAAGTATATATATAACATTAGTGACACTCAGGCAAACTAACCTTAATCACAAAACTATCAGTACACGCAATGTTTCCAACACTAAGTTTTCACTAGTTTTCTAAATATTTAGTTAAAGATAATTCAATTCATACTGAGAAACTTGATCTTTATTTTTTGTAATTTTCTCCAATATCTTAAATGAGTTTAGAATATTATTATTGAGAGTATACTTCTTTCATCTCCATTTTTTTTTTAATGTTCCTCATCTCCAAAAAATTATGTCACTATCAATTAGTAATATTTTCTGCTTTTAAAAAAAGAACCTAGACATAATTTATATATTTACATTTTGGCAAGATATATATGATTCATTAGGTAATAGTGCTAATAACAAATTTATTTCACCTCTTGCCTTTCATATTAACGTGACCTTTCATATTAACAGATTGAGCTAACCCTTATGTAGCTTTAAATTTATATGTTTTTAATTTTAAATTAAAAAATAATATTTTTTTTAATAAATATGTTATACAATGTGTTAAATTAAAAATATACCAATTATTGTTCTAATTAAAAACAAATGTAACTTAAATATAAGAGAGTTAGTCCACTTGTTATCAATTAGTTTTAAATTAAATACAAATGTTTTGTTAAAACTTATTTACCTAATTTTTACATAATATCATAATGGAAAATGATGTGTGCACACCCGGATCCAACACCCTGGTGTGCACACTCCGCATAAAAAAAACAATGATCCAACACCCGGTCCATTTTTTTTTTCTTATGTGGAGGGTGCACACCCGGGTGTTGAATCGGGTGTGCACCAATCATGATCCTATCAGAATAGGTTACATTTCTATGGAGCCCATTGTTTTGTACTCGGCTTGCACATAAAGAGTAATGAGGTGTATTAATACATGCGTATACATGAAAACTAAGTTGGATACAAGTATCATGTTGAAATTCACATTTAATTTTCACTTGAGAGAGTATAACAATGCAAAATACACCCTCCAAGGTTCGAACCATAACCAGGGTACTCTCCATGAGAGCCGCGAGCACATATACCATCACACAGTTGGAGGCTACAAGCTGCAGGTGCTCTCACCATATTATATATACATGCTTGATTCAGATTTGTAGTCCAACTTTTGATAATGTGTAAAATTGTATCATTGATTCCTTATATTTTTGACATGACAGGATATCAACATAACATAAACGACTCTCTCAAATTAAGCAAACAGAACCCAACTTCATATCTATCTTTCTTTCTTTTAAAATAGGGGTATCGTTTCAAGAAAGGGAGGGGAATAAGATATTTTTTGTTTCTTAAGTCATGGGGAATTTGGGAGAACGGAGTAGGGATTACCATTGAGATCGACCGAGTTAAATTCATGATTCTATTTCTATGTCTTCATTCGCGGCTTCTTCCTGTTAATTTTTTTCCATTTTTCTTCATTCTCTCCTCCACCTCATCTGGTCCTTCTCCTGTTCTTCCTGACTTCTTCTTCTCCCTCTTCCTCTTTCTCCTCGTCAACATTATCATCGTCCGCCTTCTCCTTGGTTGCATTGAATACGGAATTCTAATAAATTATTGGAAAATTAGTTATTTACAATAGTATTGCCTTAGATATTATAGAATCAACATGGAAACACAAGCCGTTCCCTTTTACCAAAAAATAAAAAGGAAAATAGAAATAAGCGTCTACAATGATGTGAAGAACTAGAATATTATAACGAAAAAAAAAATTGAAGCATTTATCTAAAAATATATGCATAAAAATTTGGACCTTGAACTTTGCAGCTATTACTACCATGAAATACAAGCCCCAAAACAAACACAAGTTTCTCTTTTAATTTGCACAAACAAATTATGCTTTTGCTGCCAAAAAATGCATAATTTCGTTCTAGGAGTAGCTAAAATATTAACCAATTAACTCTTACTTGGCTGCGTCCGATGAGAGAAGTTCAATGTCTGGCCAACTCAGTGTCTAAGTGTGCATCATCGTTGGTCGACAACACTTTTTTGGTAAATCAGTAATTCGATCTTCAAAATGAACCCTATGGTAAAGAACACCACCATCTTCAGCAGGCCATCCATCTTCTTTACCTTCTTCCATGCCCACCATATAAAATTTAACTATAGAAGATTGCTAGTGATAGATCATATGTCTATGATATGCTTATACAAAAGTATATGCGAGGTTCAAAAGGAATGTGATATTTATAGACGTTCTTTGAGGATTAAAACCGCAGCGGATTTACTTACGGTGCCCAATGATTTTCAAAGTCATAATAAAAAATCTATAAATATATGTTAATTAAATCTACGTGGATCTACTTACGAGGCACAATGGTTTTTATAAAAAAATTTATAAATTTAGGTTAACTAAAACTGCAACAAATTTACTTACAGCACACAATAATTTTCAAAGTTATAAAATAAAAAGATATAAGAATTAGGTTAATTAAAATCACGAAAGATTTACTTCAAGAGGAGCATAATGTTTTTTATTAGCAAAATAATTGAAAGAAAAATTTTTATATAATTTTTTTATATAACCTTATATATCATTTAATGATTGATTTTTTTTTTATTCTACAGAATATTATAAAGTTCACATATTTAATGATATATAAAAATGTTATAAAAAGATTATACAAATAATGGTACACATATCATTATCCTTTTTATTAACTACCTAAAAAACTATGATTGATATTCTTATTTATGGAAAAAAATCTTTAAGATTGGCTACTTAAAACTGCAGTTGGTTTTAGTGTATATGGGCATATGTACCGAGCATAAGTACCCTTTATACTTAATTTAGAAATATATTTAACTTTTCTTTAAAAAAGAAAAAAGAAAGCCATGGCTGGTTTACTTATGTCACACAATGCAATATTTCATATATGTGATCGTTGTACTCGACTTTGGTGGTATGATTTCTTAACGAATCTCATATATGTCTCATATTTGAACATTCTGAAAAAAATAATATAGTTTTTTTAATTGTTTACACCCTTGAGCCAGTTTAGTTTATTTTTTGTGCACACACTTAAGTAGTGAACATGGGGCAATGAGCACAGAGCGAACTATTTTTTCGCCTTTTACTAAAGAATTCCGCGTGTTCGTTGCTTAAAAATTTTGTTTATTTTCCTATTAAAAAAAGATTTTATTTTATTTTTTTCCACACACTTAAGTAGTGAAGATGGGTTTCTCTATTTTCTGGATTCATGGTATGAGGACAATGAGAAGTTTTTTATGATTTTAATAAATGGAAAAGTTCAGTATTTTGTTTGTGAAAAAGGAAAAAACGGGCATTATATTCTCAAACGTACGTCCTTCTGATGCCATTTGTTTTTTCATTTTGGATTTCCTTCTGATGTTAATTAGTTTTTTGGTAGGCGGTTAGATGTGGTAGACTAAATATTAAGGTGCCAAAAATTGCTATTTAGTCCCTTTTTTTTTTTTTTTTTTGGCATTTGTTCGGTAAAAGGCAGACCATTTGCGCTACACTAGGAGATCAATAGTGGAAATAAAATATCATCTTGAGGGGCCAACTATTATACTATAAAAGAAAGAGAACCAGATAATCAAACTTTATATTTGATTTGTGAATGTCGGGGGAGACATATTCTGCCAGAATTAAGACTAGTAAAAAAACTAAGACTCATGCTTATGAAAATTGAAATCATATACTTTAGATATAAAAAAATTACTAAAAGTTTATGTCATTACTCTATTTAAATTTCTATTCCAAAAAAAAAAATAATTATCACAAAACATTAACGTATATCAACCAATAAAACTTCAAAAAAATTAACACACTAAATTATAGTTTTTTTTTCTTTTACAGTTAAGATATTTTTAAATTAATTTTCACAAAACTTAAAACTGATTTCTTCTTAAATAATTTTAATGACGAACTCACTCAACTTTTGAAATCATCATTGCATAAAACACTTTCTCAACATATATATATATATATATATATATGAACAAGAGATATTTTGGGGGAGTGGGGAGTATAACAAAGCAAAACACACTATTGCAATCGTAGCTCAACTTTTGATAACGTGTTAAATTATGTCATCAATTCATTTAGATGTTTGACACGATATGATATCAACATTACATAGAAGACTCTCTCAAGGACTCTCAAACCTAATAGAACTCAACTCCATATCTATCTTTCTCTATTTCGAAATAGGGGATTGTTTCAAGAAGGGAGGGGAAAGAGATATTGTTTTGTTTCTTAAGTCATGAGGAATTTGGGAGAACGAAGTAGGGATTACAAAAGGGATCGTCCGAGTTAAATTCATGACTCCTATTTCTAGGTCTTCATTCGCGGCTTCCTCTTGTAAATTCCTCCCGCTCTTCATCCTCTCCTCCACCTCATCCAGTCCTTCTCCTGCTCGTCTTGCAGTTCTTCTTCTTCACCTCCTTCCTCTTTCTCGTTATCATCATTATTATCGTTCTTCTTCTCTTTGATCGCGTTGAATTCAAAATTCTAATAAATTATCGAAGAATTAGCTATTTACAATAGTATTGCCTAAGATATTATAGAATCAGCATTGAAACACAAGTTGTTCTCTTTAACCAAAAAGGAAAAAGAGAAAATAGAAATAAGTGTCTACATTGACTTGAAGAACTAGGATATTATAGAGACAAAAAATTAGAGCATTAATTTATTTAAAAAAAGATGCATAAAAATTTAGTCATTGAACTTAGCAGCTATTCCTAACATGAAATACAACCCCCAAATCAAACACAGGTATCTTTTTTAAGTGCCCAAATGAATTATGCTTTTGCTACTAAACAATGCATAATGTGGTTCTAAAGGGTACCTAAAATATTAACTAATTAACTCTTACTTGATTGCGTCCGGTGAGAGAAGTTCAATGTCTGGCCAACTCACTGTCTAGGCGTGCATCATTGTTGGTCGACAATACTTTTTTGGTAAATCAGTAATTCGATCTTCAAAATAACCTCTACGGTGAAGAACACCGCCAACTTCTGCAGACCACCCATCTTCTTTATCTTCATCCATGACCACCATATGAAATTTTACTATAGAAAATTTGCCAGCGATTAGATTATATGTTTATGGTTGCTTATATAAAAGTATATGCAATGTTTAAAAGGAATATGATATATACACATTCTTTTAGGATTAAAACTGTGGTGGATTTATCTATGGTGCTCAATGATTTCCAATGTTATAATAAAAAAATTTATGAGTTAGGTTAATTAAAAACTATGGTGAATTTATTTATGGAGCACAATAGTTTTCAAAGTTAAAATTGTGGTGAATTTATTTAAGGAGTATAATTTTTTTTATTAGTAAAATAATTGCAAGAATTTTTTTATATAACTTTTCAATACATCTTTTACATGATTTAGTGATTAATTGTTTTAATTCTACTAAAACTTATAATATTATATAATTCACTCATTTAATAATATGTAAAAATTAAATAAAAAATTATAAAAAAATTGTAAGCATATCATTCCCTTTTTTATTAACTACCTAAAAACCTACTATTGATATTCTTATGGAAAAAAAATCTTTGAGATTGGTTAATTAAAACCGTGACTGATTTACTTAAGTCGCGTAATGGTTTTTAAAACTGCGGCAGATTTACCTATAGTGCCCAATGGTTTTAAATATTATAAAAAAAAAAAAAAAAAATCTATGATTTGTGTTATTTGAAACTGCGACGGATTTACTTGTTGCGCACAATGGTTTTGATTTTCAAAGTTAAAATTATGGTGGATTTATTTGAGGAGCATAATGTTTTGTTTTAAGAAAATAATTGAAAAATAATTTTTTATATAATTCTTTTATATGATTTTATGTGTCATTTAATAGTTATATTTTTTCACTTTATTAGAATTATTATTATTGTATAAATTTAATTATTTAATAATATATAAAAATTAAATAAAAAGTTATAAAAAAATTAAATGCATGTCATTACCCTTTTTATTAACTGCGTATGATTTTTCTAGAATAGAGAGAGTAATTGATGTACAAGTTTCTTCTAGAAAACAATTGCCGGTACAAAAAAATTTAGAGTAATGATATGTAGATAATTTTTTTTTATAAATTTTTTATATAATTTTTATATATTATTAAATAAATAAATGATAATTTAAAAAATTAAATAAATAAAAGTATACAAATATTACAAATTCCTAACAAAATGAAAATAGTTTATTATTAAACTATATGTAATATTATATAAAACTTTTATATAAAAACAATCATCTCTCAATTATTTTGCAAAAATTTGATACCATACATACGAACCCATACGTGTGGTTTATCCAATAAAGAAAAGAACAGCAGAATGTCAAAAGAAAATTCAGTGACTAAAGTTGACAATTTAAAAGGACAGTAACTAAATTAAAAACTATAAAGCTTCTGAGCGAAAAAAATTAAATAACATCGTTATAATAGATTTTTCCTCCAATGGTATTGGAACATTATAGGAATTGATGTTTGCAATGCTGTGAAGAGTTTCTTTCATAATGGCCATATGCTCAGGGATATGAATAATACTAGTATTGTTTTAATTACCAAAGTGAAAGTTCCAGAAAATGTAACACATTTTAGGCCTATTTGTCTTTGTAATTTTGTTTACAAAATCATAGCAAAATTTTGATCAATAGATTGAAAGGTGTCCTACCTAGAATAATATCAGAAAATCAAGCTGCTTTTGTTCCACAGAGAAAGATTCATGATAACACGTTAATAGCCCATGAAGCTTTTCATTAGTTGAAGAGAAGGAGGAAAGGAACGGAGGGAAAGACGGGATTGAAAGTAAATGTGGAATAAGGCCTATGACAGAATTGAGGGGAATTTTTTGAAGGCTCTCATGTTAAAGATAGGTTTTAGCAATAAAGGGGTTTCCTGGATCATGGAATGTATTACTACTGTCAAGTTCACTTTAATCATCAATGGAAAACAGATGAGAACTGTTCCTCAAAGCAGAGGCATAAGGCAGGGAGACCCCTTTTCCCTCATTTGTTTCTGTTAGGTGCTGATGTGCTATCAGAGATGGTTCAGAAAGCTGCTGATCAAAAGAGAATAAAGAGCATTAAGTCGGCTAGAAGCTGTCCTGTTCTTACTCACTTGTTCTTCGTTGATGATTCTTTATTTTTTATGCAAGCTAACATAAGGAATT